CAATTTTATTTGACTAGAGTCTCATTTACTTTGCCAATTTAGGTAGAAAACAAATTCCACATTCAAATATCGAAAACAAAATTACCTTGAAATGTTGGATAAAAATGTGCAAATAGAAATCCATATCGAGGAAAGAACGAAGCACTAGCACGCAATGCACGCCACACTGATCCCCATGTGCACTCATAGTACAGCCCACACCATTTGTAGTCAAGGGTGTGCTTCATTGAAAACAATTTACCAGTATTTCCACCTTTTCAGAATTACAAATATTTTTTTTAATGGAGTCCGAAATATTTCCTGGTTCAGAAAAAGTTCTTCATCGTTACAAACTAACAAATATTTTTTTTTCTAAAGATTTTTTTCGAAAAACGATGTTAACTCCAAAATGAGGGTGAAGCACCCCTTTACAAAAATTAATGGATCAGTCCAATTTCTTGTGACGCATTTTCTGCTCTGTGAACGAAATAAAAGGCACGACTGAACAGTTGGTTTTCGATGTTTTTTGTTGCTAAAAATATGAACAGATTTCATAAGTTTGGGACAGTTTTGGCACTAAGCAAGTGTAAGTGCCCAGGCACAACCACGGAAGAGAAGGAACGAGTCAGGAAAATACGTGCAGGAAAATTTGATCTCATTTACTTATTTTTAAATCGGCAAATCGTGATTTTTTTTTCTCTCCCTAACGATATCCGCAAATACGCTATGGCGTTTTGGACTATACTTTTCTAAAAACATGAGAAGAAAATCACAAATATAAATATATGGAATTCGGGCTTTATTTCCCTTTTTAAAAAAATCCTCCCAAGCCTCAGGTTAGAAAATAAAAAATATTATATGCACTACCGTGATTCGAACCCGCGACCCTCGCGGTTCATAATCCAATGTACTATCGACTGAGCTGTCACATCACACAGCTCGTTTCAAAATTGGAAAACTAATAAATATAGTGCCCCGTGTCATAAAAGGATTCGCAGAGGGCGCTTAACGTGCGTATGCGGATGTGTCGTTTGGGCTGGAAAAAGAAAATTTGCGGGTACGGTGTGGTCTCCGATCCTCTGGCCGCGTGCCGAAACGAAACATTCACGTCTCAACATCGTAATCTACAATTCAAGTACATGTATTTGTGGTGTTTTTTCTGTACAACTTCACATTTCCGTCAGAACAAAACAGGCACCGTATTTTCTTTGCAAAATGTCAGAGACTTTGTTTCCCTTCGGTTAACTCCACGCACGTGATTACGATTTTGGCACTTGGTATGCGATATATGTGGGGTGAAACTGGGTGTTTGTACTGCCACGTGCAGCGTGCGTGGAAGACGCAAAATCCAATACACGTGACGTTAGTCAGTTGGTTCCGCCCCTGAATAGGTAAGACCTCGCGGTACAATGCCGTAACAGTGAATTTGTGGTTAGCGGTTTTTCATGGGAGCGCTTTAGCGACAGTTTCAAGCCTTAAGGGATTGACTTTGGTTACAAAAGCGGTACCTCAAAAGAATATCGCGATATTTTTCGGCATATCGAATTTCACGATGTGCCGATTTTTTTTTATGAGATCGATACGATTTCCGATATGAAAATTTAATCGAAATATCGTGAAATATCGTCATACCGAACAGGCTATTCTATAAATTGATCCATTTTATCTTTTGTGGAGTCAGGGAACAAGACTACTTGAACATTTTTGTGTTTCTTGGTTTTTCCAACCTTTTCGAACACAAAACTTCAAATACATGTATGTCAGTGTGTAACAATATTTGATCTATTATACAAACCCCTCAAATAGTTCATTTCTGAAAATTACAGCAAAAGCCAATGGTGTACATTCCCTTTAAAAGTTGAACGATGAAATAGACGTTTTATCATGCTGCCACCATTTCAGTCATGTTACCTGTATCAGTACTGAATGATAATTTTTTTGTGTGCGAAAAGGAACCAGGTTATTTTTCCTTCCAGCCACGCTTTGGTTACATTGATTTGAATGGGAAAAAATCAAGATGGCCGCAACATGATAATGGTCTGTTGACTGGAGCGGGGTTTGAACCTTCGACCTCCGGATTACCGTTCCGGTGCTCTACCAACTGAGCTATCCAGCCCTATGTTGGCGGTCCCCATTTTGTCAATGTGTTTGTGCAACTTTTTAACAAAAATTCAGTCAGATTCCCTTTAGGCCCCTATGGTTTATGATTTGAGAATCTGTTATTGATAGTTGATTGTTCCTGATCATTGATTCAAATGCCTAGAGGGCATGACATTTAAGATAGGACACAATGTCTCACAGATAAGGACGCGCTGTCTAACAGAAACAAATGTCACTGACACAGTCATGCGTCACACACAAACCAAGGACAAAGAACCTATGAGCATTAGCTGGAAAATACTGTAAAAAATTGACCTAAAAGGTTTTACACAATGTAGCGTACATGTATGTTGATACATAATGTATACAGTCAGACATTTGGGCAATTCCACGCACAGTGGACATGGCTGAAAAATGGATAATTTAAGAAATCTTCAGAACTACCCGGTGCAAGCATCGCAATTTCAAATGTGGTATCAAATGAAAGGGGACAACATTAAGACCTTTTATTTGAGCGGTGTGCCAGTGAGATAGAATGTGGTTAAATGTTTGGGTTTTTTTTTTCAAAAACAACTGGTTTTTGGGCTAAAATGATGGGTTTTGGGTAGTCATTTGGGCATCTTGTTTTCACATGCAAAATGCTTGTGTTATTGTGAGTTTTTGTTTTTAAGGCAGAAAGAAAGGTTCATATGTTATGAAAATATCACACAGAACTTAGGATGTGAATCAATACATGTTTTTTTATCACGTGTTTGAAGTTGATTTCAGACACGTACACGTAACAAACATTATAATATAACGTCCATAACAACAAAAGCATGATCACTTTCCATAACATCAAAGTTTCTTTTGTAAAATGCCAAGTTGGTGTTTTTATAGAGTGAACCTATATCTACCACAACTATATTTATCACATTAAATTCTTGCGAGAAACTTCACTGATACGGTATTTATCAATGCGTACGGTATTTATCTCGAAGCGTAACGTTCATCTGTAACAGTCGTTCACAGCACTTATGTTAATGCCAAATGGAAAGTAAAATTCACATCAAGCAGAATTTCTGCATCATCAAACATTACCTCCATGGAATCCATTTCAATTAAATTGAGTGCCTACATTATATGTTAATGCCTAATATTTAAAATGCACAGGACGACAGAGTGGTCCTTGAAAATGTGTTTTAAAAAATCGTCAGTCTCAGTAGTTTACAAAATCATACTGTATCTTCTCCCAACAAAGGGTACCATCAAATTTGTTTTCTTCAAATTTACATGTGCACACTTGTACAGCTACATGTGTGTGTGATTAACATGTCAATATAAATGTCATTCTAAATGTCGGAAACACCAGATGTGTCGGAACAATGGGCATATGATCCTGAAAGAGAAACAATTATTTTGTCAATAGAGGAAGAAGTTTATTCATTTGAAATTATAGTTAAATTAGAACAGCTTGTATCAATAACTGCTTTTGAATGCCGTGCGATATTCTGGCAATGTATTTTTCACAAACATGCCGTCATTCATGAATATTGTAATTTGTGGGATACACAAATATTCTTCAATGTTTTGTTTTTGTTTTTGTTTGTTTTCAATTATTTTGCTACATTTTTATTAAAAATCCTCCCTCTCTGGCTGGCCATTTCAACAAGGCCAGCACAGCAGTCAAAATCAATCAAGTGACTGTTTTTAACAGTTGAGTGCTCCCTGCCTACCTACATAAAGCAGGACTGACTGGCTGTGATTGTTATGAAACCTGATATAGCTATGCTTTGACTGTAGGAGATTGATAAGCCCGCTGTGCCTACCAGTTACATGTATGTACAGGTCTGCTTTTGTCTGTTGATGGAATTGGGCTGTCACAGAGTCTACAAGAAATGATCTGACTGTTGGTGACTAGCCTGCCTAAAAGGCATGGCAGGGGAACAGGAGTGAATTTTTGACTGTCTGTGACAGATCAAACAACAGGAGGGTTAATAGTGTTGTGGCCTCCTGGTCTGGAGCGTTGAATTAAGACCCTGTGAGTAATTCTGTAGATTGTGGGTTTGAATCCAGTCTTTAGGGTGGTGGTATGTGTGTCCTTGGGCAAGACACTTTATACTAAGAGTGGTTATTGTGTTTGAACTAGATATTAAGGCGCGGATCCAGAGGGGGGGGGGGGGTTTTGGGGGTAAAAAAAACTAAACCGAGCTCTGTCCAAAAAAAAATTCTCATACAAATTCCTAAAAAAAAAGTCGAACCTCCCCCCCCCCCCCAACCGTGACACCCCCCAAAAAATTATACTGTTAAAATTTCCGCCTGTTCAAATACGGTACACCATTCTGTAATGTAGTGTTAATAATCGTGTTAAACAGCGCCCCCTATTGAAATATGGTACCAGCTCCCCCCCCCCCCCCCCCCCCCCCCCCCCCCCCCCCCCCCCCCCCCCCGGTTTTTGATTTTACGGAGGCCAAGTGTCCGGAGAAAAAGACCTGTGTACATTTTTAGATTTTTTTGCTGATGAAACCCCCCCCCCCCCCCCCTGCGAAAATTCCTGGATCCGCCCCTGATACGGTATTTACAGTATTGATTTGTATATTCCCCAGGGAGCTGGAGAGGGTCTAAGGAATTGTTTAAAAGCTTGATGATCAGAGGTACCGCAGTAATAATTTGGAATGCCTACATTATTGTCATTTACAAACAAAAACGCAATTACCACAAACACAACATTACACATCACCACTGCCAATTCACCAATTGTCCATTGTAAAAAAATTAAGTATTTAATTATTTGTTTGACCGAATATTTGAATATTCAAAGGCAAATTTTACGACCCTCTATAAATGCCCAACATCCCTGTTATCACCATCCTCGGCGTTCCTCGCCGACCGAACCTTTTGGCAGTTCAAAATTCTTATTTTCCCTGTGTATTTCTTTTCAGTTTTTCCGAGACCAACGTCAGTCTCAGTCCCCAGCTCTGAAGGTCCATGTTCCACCGTTCTACTTCCCTATGGGTCGACCGGTGCCCAGCGAGGAGAATGAGGAAGTCATCCAACGCGTCTCGCAACTCTTCGCATCCTTGCCGGAGGAGAGAGCTTACAAGCATCAGATGGACAGAGTTGCCATGGTAGGTGTTGGTCTTTGGTCGAGAGGATGAGGCGTGGGGGCGGCAGGGTCAATGGGGGGGGTGGAGGAAGGGGGATAGAGCCTGACAGTTCACCCCTGGTGGCGCGTTTCCGGAACCCTTGAATAGGAAAATTACAGTGGAAAAATTCTAAAATTTGAAATTATGTTGTTGGTACATGATTTCTTAACGAAAAATAACCCTCGAAAAAGGCCGTTGTAAAATTAACACTCGTTTCTCCATTTATTTAAACTGGAAAATCGCCTGACGTGAAAGAGAAAAATTCCTGCCGAAAACTGACCTCTCACTTCCGAAAATCTAAAATAACATCTGCACTAGTGGAACTCGGTGTACTCGTACAAAGATGAAAATTTATGAAATTTGTTTGTGGCGGTTATTAGGTTGGAATAAACTTGAAGAATTCATAAGCATTTACCAAATTTTTTTTTAAAACCTGCTGACATAAAGACTGTATTCAAGCCAGCAGGACTAAATCTAGAACCCATTGGCTGTAGGTATAGGTAAATCTTTGCGTCGTAACACATTTTCGTGCAACAGTAATTTCATCATTTTTTTTTTTAAAGTTTCAAATGCAACATTTGACCACTTACAATGTACGTGTACTACACATGTCATTGTGCAATAATGTGGCTTCCCCTTGTTTCAGGTCTAATATTCCGAGACCATAGCTCTAGTCTTGGGTAAACTGATAATCGAAACTTTATTTTCTGAAGCCACAGCTAAATGCTGCAGCCACTACAAGCTATTAGTTCAGTGAATGGTTGGCATATTTGCTGTCATAACACACCGACCTCGAATTCATGAATGGAGTGTCTCACTCATCCCGAGTGACCGTTCTATTGAACGTTGCTCCAGAATTCTCATGGTATTTGCGCCTCTGGGCGGTGGACCCATCCTGCTGTCAATCAAGCAGTGCCCATTGACCAATCAGATCACGACTTTGGGTCAGGTGACCACAGTAGATCGGTAAAACTTGTTCACAAGCACTATGAGAAATGTACACAAACCAAAAGTGGGGCGGGGCTTATTGCCCTATCCCGAATTGTGCATAGCAGTGAGTTATTAAGTACAGTTCACGGATGACAGATATTCGCTAGATTTTCCAGATTATAAAACAGCCCAGGTGCCGGATACAACAGATACCAAAAGTGGACGTGAAAAGTGAAGTGTTACGATTGTCCATCCCGTGGTCTGGCAGGGCAATACAGTAGAATATGCCCGGTATTTTGATAGCTTCTGGTCACTACTAAATATGCCTGCGATTAGGATTCGCTAAACGCGCCATCTGGTCAAAGATGATGGAGAAGATTTCTGATGAACTTCTGCGGTCAGAAACTGTCCCAATAACTGTGTTTCCTCCTCTTCTCGAGAGATGGGGTGTACCGTTGGCATTTTCAACCATCTGGCTGTGATGTGAAATTAATTGGCAATTGATTCACCAAATGACTGACGCGAACTACAAAGATCAAGAGGGTTTAGTGTTTTTATTAGCGTAGAATTTATTTATTTTCTAAAAATTGTGCATTCCCATCAGTTAAGGCCTGTGCCCTAAAGGGGCCTGGTGTACATCTTAAAGGAAATATACAACATTTGCAAACATCAAAAAACAATTCTTCCAAATTATTAAGAAATAACCGGTACCTTACTGGACTGTTACGTTACTGTTAGTGAATGACAGTCTAAAGCATCCTGTAAAATCATGGCACCTGGTGTGCTGTCATTTTCAAGAAAGCTAATATTTTGGTATCAATTTCCAACGCTGGTTGGCCGACCAGTGTTGGAAAAAAAATTTCTTCCAATACTGCCCCCACCCCAATTCAATCAATTTCTGTAAATTACAGCAAAAACAAATGTTGTATATTGCCTTTAACAGTGTCAAGTTACAAAAATCATAAAAAATAATAATTACAAATTTACATCAAATCAAAAGAAAATTTACAGAAAATCAAAAGTGCATGTACATTTTTAAATAGTGCAATTGCCAAAGTATTGTAGTCTTGCTAATGACAAAATTGTGCCAGGTACCAGTCACAGGATATTACATTGTATCTATCACACTACATTTTGGTTGGTAACCAAATCTTGCTGAGCAACGTGAAAGGTAGAGCAGATCATTTGCAGCTATCCAAAAAATAACTGACCAAATTGTTGTCAAAGAGCTTACTTGGTTTAAAGATAGTAATAACACTAAATTCCCTGTGAAATTATTCCTTCTGGAATGCTGTCATGTTGAAGAAAACAATAAAAGAAGGTCATTGCCAAAGATGAGTCAAGTGACGCATTTTTGGAAATTTCCGTTTGTAGTTGGTTTGTAATTGGGCTAATCTGTCAATGGGTGCGTGCAAGCGTTGACACGACGCACACGCACGCGGTTGCTATTCTTCGTCCGTTCAGTGCATGACATCGCGTGAGCTGCAGTCAGCTGAATGAGAACGTGTTCCGGCTGCCCGGATGCTGATTTCGGGCTCAATTCAAAATATGACTTGACATTTTTTTAATTGAAATAGAGATCCTAGAATATTTTTTTCTTAGAATAAACAGCACTCACTGAGCTAAAACTTCATCAGGTTAGTTGTTAAGCACCCGTCTTTAGATTTCGAGCACTTTGTTGCTTCAAACGAAACAAAGGCACAAATGACAAATGATCTACTCTAGATACCAGCACTTAGTTTAAGCACAATGCTTAAAACTTTTTTGTTTAGGTTCACATGGCAAATTGTCATGAGAGATAGCTTGACGCTAAGCTCATTCCCTGACATTTACTGTGAGTAGCGCTGATTCATACAATCGCAGGTCATCTGTGACTAAAGACAACAGATAGAGGCACAGTCAAGAGACAGATACTTCCTTGATTACTTTGCCAAATGGCCAATATGAGAAAGTGGCCTTTTCTCCTTTAACCTTAACGTTCTCTAACAATTATTTACCCTTTAGGATGGTTTAAGGGTGTTGCATATCTCTAGGGAGTTAGGGTTAAGATGGTTTAAGGGTGTTGCATATCTTCCCCCTCCCCAAATAACTTTGTGCAAAAGAAATTTACGTTAGCGTCTTGATTAGTTATACCATTAGGTACGGTACCATACCGGTACATTGTAAATTTTTACAATATTTAAGAATAATCTTTAGCAATACAGAAAAATTTCCTTCAAAAGTACATTGTAGCTTGGTAATAGCAGGGAGAAAGGCATCAAATAGATTTTGTTTTGCCAGCAAAGTATGGATATAACCAACTTTTAACAACGATTGAAATTGCATTCTTACTACTATGTCACACTCTCGAGATTTATACATGTAAATCCGAACACTGTGTGTGTGTTGTATTCTTCTTTTAATTCTATTTTTTTATTTCAGTATTTTTATGCTTCTAGTTGATTCTGGTCTGTTGTGTGTATTTCTGACAGGCTTGTAAATGTCCACAGTACTGGAAGATGCCATTGTTTATTGCAGCTGGGGGCGAAAAGGTCGGCTACGTCACGTCACACATGTATCTCACAATGTGGAGAAGGTAGGTGCCAACATGAATATTCAACTCATAAATATTCATGAGCCAGTATACCTATTTCATTGGTCAATAACCTATTGCATATACATGTATATATGCATTAACAATGATTACTACGGTACCATGGCAACTGACACCAAGGGCACTAGTCCAGCTTGAGTGGACTGGCCGCCTTGGGACAATAGGTGGCGCTGTACCGGTAGCATTGTTCTGCCGAAAGTAAATGATCAACTGAATAAAGTCTACAAAATGTTGATGATAGTGATGATGAGGATGATGACGATACTGGTCATGATGTTGATGATGAAGATGGTGATGTTGATATTGATTGTGATGATGAGGATTATCATGATCATTACAGCAGTGGCAAGTGGAAAAAGATGACGAATATGATCTTGATTTTGGTGATCGTACTAGTGCGCCCTCAATTGACTTATTTTTGAGTAGGGGTTCATTATACAGTCAGGTTTCAAAATACAGATACGTTTTGGAGTGTTTTCATAGAGATAATGTAATATTTTACTATTCAAAGTCGCAAAGAAACAAATTTGCCAAAAAAAGTAAAACAAAACAAATCAATCATTTTTTTTCTGTGCCAACCACGACTTCAAAGGACAGTGAAATCGGTGCATACCACTTAAGGACCTCCATATACTTGATGACCGCATGATCAGAGTTTTAGGCTTTTTACAAAAAAAAACACGTGACAGACAGACAGACAGACAGGCAGACATCAGACAGCGTAGGATCTTTTAAATGATGATGGTGAAACAGCTGAAATTCATGATGGTGTTGATGGTAGCGCTCATGATAGTGTCGTTGAGAAATGACATCACATCTTGCGATACGTCTTAACCGAGAACCCATCTGCCACCACCAGCTGCCCGTCTGACGTGAACGTAATACCCAGTGGGAAAGTCAGACCCTGGGCCAGACAATCCAGAAAATTGCCGTCGACATCGTAGAGGTGAATGTGACCATCGCTGTTCCAACCATTGCTTACTCCGACGTAGAGGCCCGAGTTTCCGGAGTTCACGGCCAGGCAGTTAGTTACTGGTCGGTCTTGAATAGATGGCTGGACGGTGGATAGTGTAGTCCCAACACTATCCGTGACGTCCACTTGTTTTTGTTCGTATCCGCTGACCACAGTTCTGTCAGTGCCCTCATCAAATGCCAGGTAGAAAGGGGGTATCTGTAGGGACACGGTGCGTAAGAGCTCACCGTTAGTGGGTTTGTGTTCAGTCCACACCATCCTCTTGACGTCACCCACCACGATGGTATCATCCCTCTTGACGGCTAAACTGCGGAGGTCCACGTCAATATTGTCAATATCTTGTAACGGCACTGTTGGGAACTGGAAGTCCAGCTTGTTGTTCTTGTTAAATACCTTGACGTACTTGGTAGTGTCTACAACTAGCAGCATGCTCATTTGGGGGATTGCTGCAACATTACGTGGACCTTGAAAGAGAGAGAAAAAGATTGTTTAAGCCATGTGGTCAAACGGCAATGTTTATAATAATGTCAATAATATCACCAACATAAGTTGATATTGATTTCATGAGTCAAAATCAAGAGTTAGCAAAGATATTTACGATCGGATAGCAGAATGGTTTCCTTGAGTTTTCCTTCCGTGCTGCAGATGACCACTCGCTTGTTCCAGTAATCTGCCACAGCCAGTTCACCAGGTTGAGTCGCAGTGATGCCAAAAGTCCCGTTGAACTCCCCCGGACCGCTCCCCTTTTTGCCGAATTCGCCAGACAGCGTCCACCTCCTGACGTCGATCTCCAGCGTGCCCTGATCGATGTCTTCCATCTGCTGGCTCGGGGCAAAATGACTGACCTCCGAACATGCCATGTTCTTGGACTCTCTCTTCTTATTAGGAGATGCTGTCAGCTCTCGAGAAATTGGACAAGGAATCTAGAAGAAAAACTCGCCGGACATCTCAGGCGGAAACTAATGATTTTGCAGTCCAGTATCTTGGACTTTTTTTCTTGTAAGGTGCTGACTTTAAGACGGTATACCTGTAGCTAATCTTCTCACAAACTTGCTGTTTTGCCAGTAGCCACTTCTAGTTTTTGAGAAATGAATGAAGAAAAGTCAAGGAATTACAAAATATAATGAAAAATCCGTACACTACTAGTAGTACCTCGGATATGTACATATTACCAGTATACATACAAGTGTGAATTTTGTGATATTTAAAGGTAGGGTAGATCATTTATCATTTGTGCATTTTTTTTTCGTTTGAAGCTACAAAAAAGCTCCAAAATCTAAAGACTAACCTGATGAAGTTTAAGCTCAGTGAATGCTGTACACTCCGAGAAAACAATATTCTAGGATCTCAATTTCAATTCAAACGTTGTCCAGTCGTGTTTTGAATTGCTCCTGAAATCAGCATCTGGGACATTCTCATTCAGCCAATTGCAGCTTTGCGATGTCACGCACTGAACTGATGAATAATTAATAGGAAGAGCAACCGCGCGCACATGTGTGTTGTGTCAATGCGTGCGCACACCCATTCACAGATTTGCCCAATTACAAACCAATGACTGACCAAAATTTCCAAAAGTGCATCACTTGACACATCTTTTTAAATTGCCTTTTTTTATTGTTTTCTTCAAAATGGCAGCATGCCAGAAAGAATAATTTCACAGGGAGTTCAGTGTCATTACTATCTGTAAACCAAGTAAGTGTTTCATCAATGATTTTGTCAGTTACTATTTGGATAGCTGCAAATGATCTTCTCTGTCTTAAAACAATCGGCCAGTTTGATTATTTCCTTGATGGTTTTGAATGGGGGAACATACAGGGCATGTCAAAAAGAAAATGAAACCCAAATGTCGGGACTATTGTTTCAGTAAAGTTCTGCATGTAGCACTTTTCTAAATCTAGGATATGAAAGCCCAGTTCATAAGCTTTCTTTTAGTTTAAGAATCATTCAAATCACTCATGTACTTTTAAAGTTACGGAATTTTAAACACAACCACAGTTTTAAAGTTTTGTCCACGGATCACCAAAAAAGGTGTGCGTTCTTTCAGCAAAAAGAAAACAATTGACACATGTCCCTGTGTGATTTGTTTTCGTTGTGCTGATAGAACACTTACATTCTTGTGATCCGTGGACAGAACTTTAAAATGTTGGTTGTGTTTAAAACTCCATAATTTTAAAAGTACATGAGTGATTTGAATGATTCTTGTACTGAAAGAAAGCTTATGAATTGGGCTTTCGTGTCCTAGATTTTGTAAGTGCTACATGCAGAACCTCTTTAAAACAATGTCCCGACATTTGGGTTTCGCTTTTTTTTTTACTCATCCTGTACATGTGTTTCAACATGTAGCCATTTCAAGTAGAAGTAGTGAGCCCCACCCCTTTTGTGGGTCAAACTATAAGGAGTCTACAAATATACATTTACGTACATATGTAACACATTTTGCTCTCCCACAACTTGCCAAATTTCTTACCTGAAAATCTCAATATTTACTGGTACATGCAGTTTAAAGACAGGTCTGCATCAGAGAATGTCAGCGATGGGTTATTCTGCGTGCACCCAGAAAATTCGTAGGATTCCTTGGGTCGATTCTAAAAAAACAAACCAAATGGCGTGAGGCAAACACACAATTGAGCTTAATCGGACGGGGCATGACCCTATGGTCCGTGTACCATTCGTTGACTTATACATTCATTGTCCAGTTTAGCTGTTGGTGTGTTTACCTTTAGATAAGACCACAGCCCACCACAACTTTTGAACTTTGTTCTCTTCGGTAAACAGTTTAATGCAGTCATTGTGGATATAGCTGGTTGGCTCAAACTTTGATAACTAAGCTATTGTGTGTTATTTTGAATTTACCACCGATGACTCTGTTTGTTGTTGGTTCATGCATTTTATAGAACCGGTCAAACAATATACATGTATGCAAGTATTGATATTAAGTTATATTGTTTGAGAGTTAATAACATTGCTGGGATTTAAGTTATATTGTTGGAGAGTTAATAACATTGGTGGGATCATCCATGGAGGTAGGACCTCCATGGTGGGATTAACCCTAATTCCCTGGGCCTGTTTGCAAGGATGTATCCTCAATCCTGCAAAATCCTCAATCACCTCCTGTAGCCTCGATCCTGCAAATTCCTCCATTATTTCATGAAAATGGTCGGTGGAGGGGTAACCACTGCCTGAATCCTGCAAAATCTTGCGGCAGTGACTGTCAATATGTTGAGGCTTGGCCAGTGACATACTGGAGCAGTATGGAGGTTTTCAAGCAAACAATGTAATCCAGGCCTATATGCATACATGGCTGAGTAAAAAAAACACACAAGGTCCGGCCCAAGACCTTGACAAAGTGCATCCTACGAAATCTGTAACGCACTTTTGCCATGTAACCTCAATCCTCCAATTTCCTAAACTTTGGCAAAGAGGATTTTGAAGGATTCAGGGCGGTTAGGGTTTAAAAGACGCGATAGGGATATGGTAGGGAGAGGGTTAATAAATGTGCTAAAACTCGTTTGGATTGATTGACTTTTTTTTTTTAAAACAGTAGTTTGAAAAACTACCGATATCAAAATATTCATTATTTTTTATGGCAGAAATTGATTCCACTTTATTACTTTTCTTTAATCTTCAGATTAATACGAGATTGCCATGACGATGCTGCGAGGCTGTTCCGTCTTCTAGCCAAGCCGGGCTGCAGTTATCTAGTTCCAGAAGACTTTTATCCTTTCATTCAGGTAAAAACAAAGGGCAAAGCTTTCATCTCTGCAGAAAAACACTAGAGGGCTCTGTTGTCTACTCATTGGAGTCAAAGGGTTTACGGAACCGTGGGTTCAGTTGCAGCTTTGCCTTTAGAAGATGATAGATCCTGACATGGCGGAACTTTGGCTCAGGCTGGGTTCATGTTCTGCTTCAGACACATAAATCTTATAGACATTTTTGGGTAATCCTTATCTTTAGGACCCCGTTCCTATATTTAAAAGACTCACCGAAACAGCTGACTAAATGACACTCAAAAGTGACATTCTGATATTTCTTGACGCATCTTAACAGCTGGTAATGACACCTTCTTGAATATCAGCAGGTTTAATTTCGTGTGAAGAGGGCAGGGCTTTGATTTATGAGGGAAGTTACGGGGGTAAAAGACGACGACAACCAGAAAACAGACTCAAAAACCAAGATGGCAACTTTGAAAGCTCAATGCAATAAAAGCTCAATGCTGATTGGCTGATGACAAAAAAATGTATATCTAATTTTTCTGTCACTAAGCCAATCAGCACCAGGCTTTCATTGTGTCGGCTTTCATGCGTTATTGTGAGAACTACAACATGCAGGTCTCACGTCTCTGACTGAGTTTTGAACACAACTCATAAAAATATAGAGGCGTCCTAAAGATAAGGATTACCCCTTTTTCATTCAACAGCCGTCTTTGAAGTGTTTGGTTTTTGTTTTTTTAAATTGAACAAAGAAATTGGCTGGAGCTGGGTTGGAACCTGCGCCCTCAAACTGCCAGTGTTTTTTTTTTTAACAGGGATAAATTAATAGACCAAACGTTCTTTTAGATTTGCAAATATACCACAAAGAGAAAACTGACTAGGTGCATTATAATACATTTTTTAAAAGTTGAACAAAGAAATTGACTGGAGCGGGGTTTGAACCTGCGACCTCTGATTACGGTGCTCTACCAACTGAGCTATCCAGCAATATGTTGGCAATTCCCCAGTTGGTCACTGATTAAATTCACGAGGTGCTAGTCAGAGACTAGGTCACAGGTTCAAACCCTGCTCCAGTCAATTTCCTTGTGAAACTTTCAAAAAACTATCATAATGCACCTTGTCTGTTTCTCTTTGTGATCTATTTGAAAATCTGAGAGAATGTTTGGTCTATTAATTTATCCCTGTTGAAAAAAAACACGCACTGGAAATTTGAGGGCAGACCAATATGTCTACTGACCTTCAGGCCTCAACTTACTCTGATCTAATGTATCAGAATTTTTTGAAAATTTCAGCAGTGATGTAAATTATGCAATAATTGCTCCAGCTTCGACTCCATGGGAGTGTGCGCGTTCCTTCACTAACCCCGGCCGTGAGGAATACGTAAATGACTTCTGCACGTGTATTTCGAAGACTACACGCTCTGTATATGTGCTTGCGTTATCTCCTGCATGTCACGTCACGTACGAACCTTTTTTTTTTCAAGACTGCGCAATGCCTGTACGATATGGATCCTTGGAACTTTTTTTTTTCACCAGAAAAACTGTACCTTGTGTTGTAAAGGGACGACAGAGGTACGCACATTTAATATAAATCCTTGCTCTGTATCGAGACGTCAGATTTCTCATGTTTGAAGGGATTGATTCTACAAAAACAAAACAAACTTTCAAAATTTTAAGCACTGCGTCTGCGTTGAACACATCGAGTGTAGTCCTAATTTAAATGTGCCAAAACGTGGCACATTTAAATTACACAATTCCAGGGGTTAAGATCACGCAAGGCATGATGATACCCATGGAGAACGAGGTTGTAATCGTTATTGAAAAGCAGGTCACTCCATAAATGATTCGTTCATGGCCAGCCCCCATGCAGCGATGTGAGCATCGCTCTAGAATGTCCTAATTAGCATCCCTGCTGACCGTCTAGTCTGCTTCACAGCATCTTAAAGACATCCAGGAGACTATAAGTGACATCTTGAAGCCAGACCACAACACACCTAGAGACATATCCAACCCAGCAGTATAGCACATTTCAATGATCTATGGTTCCGGCTGGCCTACTTTTGACAGTGCTTATGTTATTCAATAAACTTGCACACACAAAAATGAAGAAAATGCAAAAAAAAAATTACATTTTGCATTGCATTTTATTTTTATTCCTTTAAATGCACTTGTTTCAATTCTCGAAGAATACATTTTGAAGTGGTTTACATATATATCTGATGACTTGAATATTTCTATAAACTAAACATGTTTCTTCGCATAATTGTTTTGAATGTCCTCTGGCAGCTCTGTGTCTGTGCCATCATTTTAAAGGGTCCGTGAAATGACTTTTTCTCACGAACATATTTTGTTCAACTTTCTACTTCTCTGTAATGTATGAAAACTAATTGACATCCCTCTTTGGTTAATTTTATTGAAAAGTGCACTTTTTTAAGCATGAAACAAAATTCCATGCTTTACCGAACAACTGAGGGCGCTGTTGCTGTGATGTCATTTCAGGAAGACACTGCTTAGTTCAGGGGTTTTCTCCTCAACTTGTGAACCCCTAAGTTTGTTTATTGAGAACATTTAAGTGAGAGAAGTTTGCTCATTGAGTTTGCCATGTACAGACACAACAATGAATCACTAAGGAAAAGAAAAAAACAGCAAAATATTCAAAATTCTTGCAACTTTTGGTGCTGAAATAGCTGTAACATTGCGGTTTCTGCCTGAAATGACACTTTTGCTCATGAATATGTAAATTTGCATTAGCATAAAAACCAAAAAGCCACCAAAATGCCGTTAAAAATGGCAAATAAAAATTGAAAAAATCAGGTTAAATAGGACACAAAGGTGCATTTTCAAGGATTGCAATTTGCATTAAAAAATACATTACATGGGCCTTATAATAAAAATGTGTAGCACAAATGAATTTGAATGTAAAGCCATTCCATTTATTGCCACATGTTATTTGTTTTAGGAATTGGGAAGATAGCTTACCAAAAAGCCTCAGAAGTACAGTAGTGGCCTCCCAAGTTTGTGAATTTCTCTGGTTCATTAAAGATAAAATTCTTAACCCTAACAGAACTCAACCCATCAAACTCCAACGGCATGTTTTGTTGGAATCTGTCGGGATTGGTACAGTACCCCTAAACTGACAGTCATTTTACATTGGGATGGCACACCTCCAGAATCGAAGTCAAAAATATGTGTGTGCAGTTTCCCATAAACTAAACTTAGTGCAAATATATGGGAGTCCAGAGAGGCCACATAAAGCTTATTCTCTATCATAACCCCATCTAAAAACATGTTAAAATTGTGCAGCAGCAGGATTGCAGTCAAACCAGTGAGTTTGGCGGTTTTGAGACATCATCTTTCATTGAAAAAAGAACTTTTTCATTTTGCCGACGCGCATGGCTACGGCGACGAGCGCGCATACCAGAAACCGGAGACTTTTTTTTTGTTGGCCTTAATAAATTCTTTTTTGCTTCTCTTTTGTTTTCTCCAACAGGAAGTGGTTGACACACACCCTGGCCTAACATTTCTCCTTGATGCCCCAGAATTCCATTCCAGATACATTCATACAGTGAGTAACATACTTTATGGTAACATTTTCTCACAATTGTTTGTCGCTAATTTTTAAAATGTATCCGGACAACTCTAGCATGAGTTGTTACTAATTACCTTTCTAATAGATTACACAGTTTCATACAAATCGTCCTACACATGAGTCACTCCATAAATTTGTGGGTCCAAATGCGTGACGTTTTTTGTGTCCCTGTTACACCTGACCTGTGCCACGCAAGTATTATTACAATTGACTTCCAACTAGTTTTGATTTGTTTGGCAGGTATTAAGCTTTACATAATCACTCTGGAGATAGACGACATTAAAGGGAAGATACAACATTTGCTAACATCAAAAAACGAAATGATCAAATTATCATGAAATATCTTACTGGATTGTTAGGGAGTGACAGTCTCAAGCATCCTGTAAAGTTGTGGCTCCTGGTATGCTGGCATTTTCAAGAAAACTGTATTTTTCCAACGCTGGTCGGCCGACCAGCGTTGGAGAAAACTGGCTTTTTTTTCAAAAAGTGCTCCTAATTTTTCATATTGAGTTTGTCTGAAATTTCCTTTGCCATTGATTACACACCTGTGAAGACTACAAGCCTGCTAGACTGATTCTATGATCTTACAATTCCCCAAAGTCTATAAATTGCTCTGTTTCATCTTAAAAGGGGTCAGGGAACCAGACTACAAGAATATGATTGGTTTTCTTGGTTTTCCAGCATATACGAACCCAAAACGTGAAACAAGTCAGTGTAACAATATTTGCAATAACATAGTAATCCTCCAAATCCATTTATTTCTGAAAATTGCAGCAAAAGCAAATGTTGTACATTCCCTTTAAAGAATGTCTCCTGAATTTACAAAATCTTATATCAGATGTAACACCAACATGGACCCCAGATTTATGGAAAGAACCAAATACGTACTTATTGAAGACTATACATTGTAAGTTCTTAAATCATGCATATGAGACACATGCATATTTTTGTTAAATATGATTTACTAGAAATGAGCGACTGGTATTTCTGGTATTTCTAATGCTGGGGGACATTGTTAACGAAGACCTGAACTTCAATTCTGCCATTGCCATTGATGCCGTTAATTACATAGCCTGGTCCTACCTCGTAACCGTCTACAATGATTTGAACTCTGACCTGGATGTTGCCCTCTGACCTCTGAGTGTCGTCAACAGCACTGGGGTCAAGAGTCGCTGTGGCAAGGGGGGATGTTTGTGGGGGTGTTTCTGACGGTGTCTGCGCACTGGTCTGGGAGGGGGTTTGTGAAGGGGGCGGTGTGCCTTGTGAAGTTTGCATTTCTGGGGTTTTAGTCTGGGGCTGGGTCGGGGATTGGATTGGGGTTGATCTTGCGGTTTGGGTGGGTGCTTGGGTTGGGGTTTGGTTGGGCGTTTGTGTTGTTAGGGTGGGGGTAGTGGTCAGAATTGATGTTGGGAGTCTAGTTTGGCTTGGACTCGGGGTTTGCGTCGGCATTTCTGTGGGAGTTTGTGACCGGGTTTGGGTGCGGGTTTCTGCGGGAGTTCTGGTTGGTGTGAGGGTTTGGGTTTGGGTGGATGAGACGGATGGAGAAGTGGTTCTGGAGTGGGATGTAGTCATTGGCACTGAGTGAGTAGGAGAGGTGTCCAGGATTGCTTGGCCGTGTGTTTGCTCTCTCGGTCCATTAGACGATGCGTGCATTGTCACAGTTTGTGTCTGATGAGTCAAGGTTGTCTCTTGAGGATCAGCGGGGGATGCAGTCATCTGTCCAGTCACAGTTGTCTCAAGATGCTGGAAGGATGATGACGGGAGGTCCTTGGAGGTTGATGTCTCCGTGGTCCTGTCTTCAAGGTCTGACTCCGTCTCCTTCGTGACTTCTGTCGCATCGCTGATGTTTGGAGGATTAGGAGAAGATACCGATGGTGTGAACTCATTCCGAGATGTAGGTTCTTGGCGGGATTCTGTCTCCTCATCGACGGTGGTGTCTGCCATGCTTGTCACTACTTCTGTCACCCCTTGTGTTGAGTTGTCAGTACTTGATACCCCAGCGACTGATTGAGCTGTTGCACGAGGAGTCACGTGTGGTGGCTGTGAGTTGGTCATCCCATCTGTCACTGTGTTTGTCACCCCGTGTGTCACCCCTTCTGTGGCACTTTGAATGCTGGCAAGTGGGATCTCAGCCTGATCTCTCATCCCGTCCGTCACTGTGTGCGCCACCCCATCTGAACCTGCTTCTTGTGTATCACTGCTTGATGTTGGGCTCCCTGAAAGGGGCGTGGCCAAGTGGAGAGAGGGTAGGAGGGTCAGAATCAGTAACGTCTTGTATGCCATCTTGAACCTTGTAGGCTGTCAAAGTGCCACAACTGTAAATAAAAAGTAATCAAACTAATATTTACAAAAAAAAGATGAGTACATGTACTATCCGTTTAAATCTTGAATGTTAAAATATTTTTAGAAATTGTTATCAGAAAGACCGTGTCTAGACATATCATACAGGTAGATTATTTTGTGGGAAGATCTCAAATGTAACGGTCTGATAATGTCTTAGACTAGATTTGTACACTCTGACCCATATTTTGCACTTCAGTGATAAATCTGTATTATCAATAAGATTAGACCATAGCCATATCAATGGCAAACGGCAAGAAAAAGATTGGCACAAATATTGGGCTAGTTTTTTTCTCCTCAAATTATGTGCTGTTCAGATATGGAAGTACTTAAAATAATTTCAGACAAATTGTCTTAAGTTCACATGTACAGGGTGTCTCCAAAAAAAAAACAGCAGTCAATCCCTAAATATTCAAAATACTAGCACTCTCTTTTTGCAAAACTTATCTATAGAGTCGGAAGGTATAGTAAATACTCTTCACAATGGTCTTTATCCCATCTCATTTGGATACCCCAGTCCAGAGATACAGCTAATTAAATGAAAGGACTTGAATTCCAAGTTGGGCCACTCGGTATCTAATGAAAGTCATTCACATACCAAGAAGGTGAAGAAAGTGGCCCAAACAGATTTTGGACAGTCTTTACAAGCTGTGCCGTAACTTTTTGAAACAAAAGGACCAAATCACACAGAACAAAAGTCCTGTCAAGGGTAAAGAAACACTCTTTCATCTCATGGTCAATTTTTTACAGCAACAAAAGACGATTTAGTTTTCTGAGAAAAAAATGGGGGGGCCGCTTATCCAGTATCCACCTTAATATTCAAATTGTAAAAAAAAATACAGTTTTGCATCATTTCCTTATCTATTAAACATTGAACTCGTAAGTGACAAAAGCTCAGTAGTTCTTTTTACTCTAATCAAAGGTGAATTTTTCGGGTCACATCCATTATTGGAGCGCTGTGGCCCAGTGGTTACGGTGTTCGACTCACGTGCCAGTACGTGGGTTCGAACCCTAACAGGGAAAATGGTGCTTGTGTTGTTGGGCAAGTCACTTTACTACAATTGCCTCTCTCCACCCAGGAGTATAAATGGGTACCTGTGAAGGTGTAGAGACCAGAATGTGCTGATCTTGAGCTGTTGCAAAATTGGTCTCATGGACTGATGAAAAGGGTAATAATTGTGAAGTTCTTGGTTCTTGGTTGGTTCTTCTCCTAAGGACTCCGCATGGGAGTAATAACAGGAGGCCAGAAACACCGGGGCAAACCCCTCCTTTTAGCGATAAGTGTTGCTGGGTTTCTTTTACGTGCATTGCATTTAACACGCAGGATCTACGGCTTTACGTCCCATTGGAAGGACGAAGCAATATTGGTTAAGTGCCTTGCTCAAGGGCACAAGTGTCCGGGCCCGGGCTTGAACCCACGCCACTGTTGCCTCTGAAACACCAAAGCATGAGTCCGGTGCTCTTAACTGCTAGGCCATGACACTCCACTGTGTGCTTTGGTATAAAGCACCATATTAGCACCTTAGAATTGCCTGATTATCTTCTTTTAACTATTCTTTACTTGATAGTTCACGGAATCAAAATCTTTGTACTTACATCTTGATAGAATCAATGTTTTTCTCTGACGTATTCCTCACTGGTTGATAAGAAGACAAGCTTTTGTTGAGATTTCGGCAGTTTCTAGTTGCACTGATCTCTCTTGGGGCATAAAATGCTGGCCTCTCCCTTGCGTTAGTTCTTTTAAAACATTCTTTCAATCTCATCATGATTTTAGATCAAGTAACCAATCCGATCACTCTAAGTCATCCTTCCCGTCACACCACCCAATCAGAGCCCAGTTTAGTCAGGTGATAACTCAAAAGCCACACCCCTTCAGTGTGTCATCCAATCAGAATTAGGGTTGCATCACTGTAGCCTTGCCCACTGGCAACTTCTCAGCCAATGAGTGTGCAGCTTACAAGAATGATGTTAGTGAGAAGAGACAGGGTTTGGCATGTATTATGGATAGGTGGCTAATCTTGGCTTTCGAGACTGTTGATAAATTTGGAGTCTGGTTAGCCTCCGGGTATAAAGTAAACCCAGGGATTGAACACAGATCTAGTCCACCCACAGTCACCTTGGCCTCCTTACACTGAGTGGGCATCCAAGATTTGGCTTTGGGGGCTCCCATTTTTTTTCTTCAAATTTTGTAGAAGTTAAAAAAATGTCAAAAATTTTGCCCAAGATTTTTTGCTGCAGAAAAAAAAAATTGTTTATTTTTTTTATTTTTTTTAAATTTTTTTTTTGGGGGGGGAGGAGGGAATATTCTGACGTTGGTGCCGCCACTTACACCCCTATTATACTACTCAAAAATAGACCATATACATATCACCAAGGTCAAATCGTGGCACTGCCCCCCCCCCCCCCACCCCACCCCACCAAATTAAAGTTTTAGAGGTGGGAGGAAACCCCAGAAGAATATTCTGAGGAAAACCCACAGAATCAGTACAGTATTGGCCCAGGCGGGATTGGAACCTGGGTCACAGCGGTGGAAGGCGCGGAAAGTACCGCTAGGCCAACCTGACTCCCCTATTAAACAATATTCAAATAAGGCTTGGTGATTTCTAAGAAATTAGAGAAATAAGTCTTGATGAGTAAAAAGTGTATGTCGGAACTCCACTCCCAGCAATGGACATCCACATGGTTTTGGGGTGTTTTTTTTTTCAAAACAGTTTGTCTCTTTCTTACACGTGTACTTTTACAAAGGCAGAGTTTCAAAATAGTCTTCTCGCGATAACCTCCTCTATCACATTGAGGGTGCAGCACGTACCATGATGGATTAGACGCGGCCCTCTAACCCCCATAATGCAGCTGTGCGGGTCAGAGGTCACAGGGTTAATCTCGCATACTTTACAAACAGCTTCTTGCGTTCCGAGCCTATTTTTCAAACAATCCTGCATTGTTGGAAACAAGACAGACAGGGTGTGTGTCACTAATGGATCGGATACCCAGTCAACCGGGTTAGAGGTCAAGAGGTCAGACAGCAGTTAACCTCATGACCTTTGACCTCACACATTTGACGCGCGTCTCTTGATTGATGTAGTTACAAAAAGACGTGAGGTTAACCACCTCAGGAGAGTCAAAAAGGTTTTGGGAGTGAGTTCCAAAAAAAAAAAAAAAATGTAGAAATTTAAATCCGTATGGCAAAGCTCTGTTGTCTGGATGGAGAATTATCATCCATAAGGTATTGCACACATGGTAATGACATCAAGTCACACATTTCCATTAGTGTAATAGGACTGATGATGTAAACAGATGTGTGGAGATCATTGGAGTCCATCAGATAGGATTCAGTATGCCAGGATTATACTCTTGATTTGTACTTTGGTGACAGGTTTTTAATATAGATTTATTTTATTCAGTTGTCTTGTTTCACAAGGACAGTGATTGTACATTGGACAATCCGTGTTTTTTTTTTTTTTAATCCAATTTCGATTTAAAAATTTATCATGATTTTGTGCACTCATTTTATGTTACCTGTTTTATCATTGTATGGAGTCTGTTAAGTATTGTACTGCCCAAAACTGCTCAAGAGTTTGGGCTATTCAGGAGATTGAAGATTGCAGACTGACTAAAAAAGATATACAGGGGCTTAAAGGGAATATACAACATTTGCTTTTGCTGTTATTTTCAGAAATTGCTGGATTTGGGGGTTAGTATTTGACAGCAAATATTGTTACACTGACTTGTTTCAAGTTTTGTGCTCGTACTTGCTGGAAAAACCAAGAAAAGCTATCATGTTCTTGTAGTCTGGTTCCATGACCCCACTTAAGATGAAACGGAGCAATTTATATGTATGTTGGGGAATTATAAGGTCAGGGAACCAGTCTAGTTGGCTTGTACCCATTCATAGATGTGTAATCGATTGGAAACAAAATGCGGACTAACTAAATATGGTAAATTGGGGCCAGTATTTTTAAAAAGCCAGTTTTTTCCAACGCTGACCAGCATTGGAAATTGATAAAAAATACCACTTTTCATAAAAATGTCAGCACACCAGGTGCCATTTTTTTTACAGGATGCTTTAGACTGTCATTCTCTAACAGTCCAGTAAGGCATTCCGTAATAATTTGGTATTTTGATGTCTGCAAATGTTGTATGTTCCCTTTAATGGTGGACAGTTAAGTTGCTGTTGAAATTTGCCAAATAAGGATCTTCCATTTGTTTTAGCCTTTATTATTGTGAATGTGCATAAATGGAAAAGCTTACTTAGTTTTGTTCTTGTCATCATTCCCCAGGTGATAGCTAGAATATTTTACTGCGTCAACAGAACGTGGAACGGTAGGATCACGCTACCTGAACTCAGGAAAAGTAACTTGTTATCGGTAAGCAACTTTTTTGTATCTTGGACGCTTAGTAGAATTTTCAATTGCTCAGGCCTTAACCCTCCAACATCCTTCAAAACCCACACGGAGGTGTGGAGGATTTTGTAGGATTTTGTAGGATTGAGGATGGTTTATCCCGGCAAGTTTACTCGTGGACTAGAAGAGTTTCCAAAAAACGTTAGTCCCAAAAAAATGTTAATCACCAAATGGCTATTGAGAATATTTCTCTTCAATTCCACCAATCTTTTCTCCTCAGGTTGTAGCACTTCTTGAGGAGGAGGATGACATCAATCAGATCTTGGATTACTTCTCCTACGAGCATTTCTACGTCGTCTACTGCAAGTTTTGGGAGTTGGACACCGATCATGACTTGTTCATTGACAAGAAGGATCTTAGTAGACACAACGATCACGGTAACTCCTTCCATCTTCTTAATATCCCCATCCATCTAAATGGTTCAATCTAAATCTTCATGATATATGCATGGATGCTGAAGTTCAGTAACAGTTGTCACCAAGTTGACGATAGAGGGCAGTATTGCAGTCTTCTGGGGCGTTCATTTTGAAGGACTTGGAATTTAAAATCCTGTGAAATTGATAAGCATTGTCTTAGGACTTACTGTAGACTAACTGCTTTAGATTAACAACTTTTGAGTTTGCTGGTATTTTTAACAAATGGAAAAACTCTAGTATGTGGCTTACTTCTATTTTCCTTTTCAAAAATTATATTAAGGCCTTTTCACACTAGAGCTTCTCAACCCAGGTTGAATTCAACCCTGGGTGAACCCTATTGCCCCGAGTTGAGTTTATCTATTTTTCAACCCCACGTTCAACCTCGCATCATTTTACATTTGTTTTGTGCAAACCGAGCTTATTTCAGTCGGTTTCTACTGTTTTGAACCCTGACGAGAGTTTCAACCCGGGTTGAAAATCTCAACCCTGGTGTGGAGCAGGGTTGGTTTCAACCCGGGGTGAAATCAATCTCAGGGTTGACGCAGGGTTGGCGCAGGGTTAAACATTTTCAAGTTTGTCAGTTTGCTTTGATAAATTTCTCTTCTTTTTCTTTTCCCCAGCTCTTTCTTCCAGGATCATTGACAGGATATTTTCCCCTGGTGCAGTACTCAGGTAAATCAAGCAAATTTGTTTAAGTTTCAGAAATTCTGGCCTAGAAAATTTTAGGTAAAAATTTAAGGGAATAACACGATGTGAAATAAAACGATTGTTTAATTGAACATTTTTCACAGCCTTACATCTGAGAAATGAACAGTAAAGACCAGTTCATAGTTTTTTTTAAGGGAATAACACGATGCGAAATTAAAAGATTGTTTAATTGAACATTTTTTAAGGCCTTACATCTGAGAAATTGACAGTAAAGGCCAGTTCGTACTCGGCGCGACTGCGAATTTGTGACGTCATGCCAAGTTTTTCCGCGCTGCGAATTTGCAAAAGTTGAAGCCATATCACCTCCGGCAAACTTTGCAACAAATTTTTTTCTGACGTCAAACTCACTTTGTATTTGCATTTGTGTGAGGTATGAACTGGCCTTAATTCTGATAACATGAGGTTTTTTTAAAATAATTTAGTGTATTTTTATACCCCGCAGCGAAGCCGAAGGGGCGTACTGTTTCCGCCTCGTCCTTCCGTGGGTGGGTGGGTGGGTGAGCTTGTCTTACATACGCAGTGTGGACTTCCGAACAAAAGACGTCCACATAATGTAGGTAGCAGCGACGAAGTGTGGACTTGCCCACGTCCACACAGTGTTTCCCCATTTCTGGAAAACAGGTTTAGAGGCATTTTTGGGTTAGGTTTATTTGTAGCAGAATGAAGAGAAACACTAAAGGGAATCATTGAAAAAAAATTGGGTTGTAAGAGTTTTCACAGTTTGAGAAAAATGAGTTTTTCCACTGGTGTTCCTTAACTACACGAAAAGAAAGGAAAGTCCACACTAGGTATGTGAAACAAGTCTGGGTGGGTGGGTGGGTGTGTGTGTCCGGACAAATCCTTTCAGCGCGATAACTTGAGAAATACTTAACATATGAACTTCAAATTTGGTTTGTGGATTGTTCTTGGTAATCCTAAGAAGCCTTTTGCATTTGGGGCCAAAAGGCCAAAGGTCAAGTTCACAGTGGCTAAAACAATAGAAATCTTGTCAGCGCGATAACTTGAGAAATACTTAACATATGAACTTCAAATTTGGTTTGTGGATTGTTCTTGGTAATCCTAAGAAGCCTTTTGCATTTGGGGCCAAAAGGCCAAAGGTCAAGTTCACAGTGGCTAAAACAATAGAAATCTTGTCAGCACGATAACTTGAGAAATACTTAACATATGAACTTCAAATTTGGTTTGTGGATTGTTCTTGGTAATCCTAAGAGGCCTTTTGCATTTGGGGCCAAAAGGCCAAAGGTCAAGTTCACAGTGGCTAAAACAATAGAAATCATGTCAGCGCGATAACTTGAGAAATAATTAACATATTAACTTCAAATTTGGTTTGTGGATTGTTCTTGGCAATCCTAAGAAGCCTTTTGCATTTGGGGCCAAAAGGCCTAAGGTCAAGTTCACAGTGGCTAAAACAATAGAAATCTTGTCAGCGCGATAACTTGAGAAATAATTAACATGTGAACTTCAAATTTGGTTTGTGGATTGTTCTTGGCAATCCTAAGAAGCCTATTGCATTTGGGGCCAAAAGGTCAAGGGTCAAGTTCACAGTGGCTAAAACAATAGAAATCTTGTCAGCGCGATAACTTAAGAAATACTTTACATGTGAACTTCAAATTTGGTTTGTGGATTGTTCTTGGTAATCCTAAGAAGCCTATTGAATTTGGGGCCAAAAGGTCAAGGGTCAAGTTCACAGTGGCTAAAACAATAGAAATCATGTATTTATTCTGAGATTATAGGGATTAGGGATTAATTCATATAAAACCTACAGAAGACACTAATGCTGTCAATTAATGTTCCATGTGACCAAGGTACATGTAAGTTGATGTTAAAAGAGTGGTGTTATGTCATGGGAACTGTCACCGTTGCGGGGCATTTGTGTTTGTAAACACACCTGACTTGTTTTTTCTATTTCTCATCTAGTCCTGAGTCTGTTAGGGAAGGCAGGATGAGCTATGCTGAGTTTGTTGCGTTTCTCTTGTCAGAAGAGGACAAGAAGACTCCAATGAGGTCAGTGGTTATATCTTGAGATGACGTTGAGTCCGTCACAAGTCATCATAAGTCGATCACAAGTCACCATAAGTCAATCACAAGTCACCATAAGTCAATCATAAGTCACCATAAGTCAGTCACAAGTCATCATAAGTCAATCTCAAGTCGTCATAAGTCAATAACAAGCTATCATAAGTCAATCTCAAGTCAATCATAAGTCAATCACAAGTCATCATAAGTAAATCACAAGTCATCATCAGTCAAACACAAATCATCATAAATCAATCACAAGTCATCATAAGTCAATCACAAGTCATCGTAAGTCACCATAAGTCAATCACAAGTCATCACAAGTCAATCACAAGTCGATCACAAGTCGAACACAAGTCATCATAAGCATTCGTTTGTCACTGTTCATCATAAGTTGCTTGCCACATATTGGCCCAGGGGGGATTCAAACCCGGGTCACAGCGGTGGAAGGTGAGGAAAGTACAGCTACGCCAACCTGACTCCCCCACACTTAAACCTCCATACAAGCAGGGCCCATTTCAGGGCTCTGCTAACCCCAGAATTCCGTGCTTATGATCATCACTTTGCACTAAACAATGCTAGCAGAAAAATTCTGTGCTAACCCTGTAGGCACAGAATCCTTAGTTACGGGATGTACGCATGCGCAGAGGCCAACATTTCTCGCTAACCTGTAAAATACGCTTACCGTAAGCACAGAATTTTCTGCCACAGTAAGCAGGGATTTGTTTTACAGTAAGCAGAGCCACAAAATTGGGCCCAGATGGGTCCCTAGCTTAGTTTTCTAGCTTCTTAGATTTGATTGATATGTACCATGGATTATTTTTTTTTCCCTGTCGACTCCATGCACGAGAACCCCCTCAACAGACCATTATCATGTTGCGGTCATCTTGAATTTTTCACATTCAAATGAACGTAACCAAAGCGAGGCTGGAAGGAAAAAATAGTCTGGTTCCTTTTTGCACAAAAAACATTAACATTCAGTACTGTTATTGGATACAGGGAACATGACTGCAATGGTGGCAGCATGATAAAGGTATATGTGTATGAACCAGTTTTCGTGAAATGCAATCATCCTATTCCACTTTGAATGTTTTCAGCATTGAGTACTGGTTTCGGTGTATGGATATGGACGGGGACGGTTACCTCTCCATGTATGAACTGGAATACTTCTACGAAGAGCAGATTAATAAGATGGAAGCGCTAGGAATCGAGACTCTACCATTCCAAGATTGTCTGTGTCAGGTGAGTTATTGTTTGGATGTCATCTGTCAACTGATTGCATTCAGCAGCTGCCTTCCAGGAGTTATTTATTGTTGTTCTTCAGTAACAAGGAATGCACAGGTCTTCTTGCTGCAGAAATATTGCACACAAGGCTTATCACAAGTCCTCACAAGACTCCTCACAAGGCTTATCACAAGTCCTCACAAGGCGTATCACAAGTCCTCACAAGACTCCCCACAAGGCTAATCACAAGTCCTCACAAGGCTTATCGCAAGTCCTCACAAGACTCCTCACAAGGCTTATCACAAGTCCTCACAAGGCGTATCACAAGTCCTCACAAGACTCCTCACAAGGCTTATCACAAGTCCTCACAAGGCTTATCGCAAGATTATCTGTGTCAGGTGAGTTATTGTTTGGATGTTATCGGTCAACTGATTGCATTCAGCAGCTGTCTTCCAGGAGTTATTTGTTGTTGTTCTTCAGTAACGATGAATGCAAAGGAGGTCTTCTTGCTGCAGAAATATTCCAGAATACTGCAGCAAGACTAACTGGCAACCAGCCCAAATACTGTCATATTACTCCATTTTCCTATCAACTGCAGTGGTTTGTTTGTAATTATTTCCGCAATTGGCCGGGATAGCCCACGAAAGTCTCTCGACTTATCTCCAGTGGGGTCCCTTGGCAGAAGATGTGAAAGGAAATTACAGTTTTAGTTGTGGGAGGGAAACCCCAGAATGATATTTTAGGGAAAACCCACGGAATCAGGCAGGGACTGAACACCCAATCCACATATTGGCCCAGGCAAGGATTCGAACCGGGGCCACAGGGTCACTGGTTACCAGTCATCTCTCAAATTCAATTCAAAATTTTGTTGTTAGTTTTCAAATCATTTGACAAACTTTGCCCTGGTTATTGTGTTCACATTTTCCAACCACCTAAACTCGCCCGGCACACTCTCAGGTTTTCAGATCAACTGTTCTTACAGATACCCCCAACAAACACTGGAAATGCCCAAGTTTCCCAGATCTTGTCAAATTAACATTATTCCATCATCTTGTTTCTACTTTCAAAATTAACATTTCCTTCTCACTTTATTATCATCATTTCTAATAATTCTCCCATCTTTCTGTCCATAGCTTCTGGATCTTGTCAAATGAGAGATTATTTCATCCTTTCTTATCTATTTTGGTCAAATCTTGTTCCTCTCCAGCTTCTAGATCTAGTCAAACCCCAACGGCCCGATCGGATCTCCCTGCGTGACCTCAAGCAATGCAAGTTGGCTTACATCTTCTACGACACGCTGTTCAATCTGGAGAAATACCTGGAGCATGAGCAGCGAGACCCCTTTGCCTGTAACAGAGTAAGACGGCTTTAAATAATTTACCCCCTGAAGAATCTCAAAGTAATAGAATTTATGGAAATTCAGAGCTTTCCTTCAGTCGGATGAGTGAGTGACTTTGAAAGGAGACAGTTTCAAGGAATTGAAATAAGCAAAACAAGTGTAGGGTTGTTATTTTGTCAATGATATGGAGCTATTTAATCCTAACCGCCCTGAATCCTTCAAAATCCTCTTTGCCAAAGTGGAGAAATTTGGAGGATTGAGGTTACATGGCAAACGTGCGTTACTGCTTTCCTAGGATGCACTTTGTCAAGGTCTTGGGCCGGACCTTTTGTTGTTTTTGCTCAGCCATGCATAAATATAGGCCTGGATTATGCTTGAATCCTCCGCACTGCTCCAGGATGGCAGTGGCCAAGCCTCAACATATTGACAGTCACTGCCGCTGGATTTTGCAGGATTCAGGCAGTGGTCACCCCTCCACGGACCATATTCAAGAAATAATGGAGGACTTTGCAGGATTGAGGCTATATGATATTTTTCCATGAGGCCAATTGGAGGATTTTGCAGGATTGAGGCTTCATCCTAGCAAAAAGGCCTGGGGAGTTATGGTTAATAGTTAAGGATTCAGCATTCTTGTGATTAGAGCCTCAAGAATTTGTGGTTGAATTCGCCTTTGGACTGTGTTGTGTTCTTGAGCAAGGTTCTTTACAACAATTGCTTCACATCCAGGTTTAGAATGGGAACCTGTCATGCCAGTCCAGAGTGTGTTAGATTTCAGTGTTGCTCTCTATGTTCGTCAAATGCCATCACGGTACACTTGATTGTGTCCCTGGGCTAGATACCTTACCATGATTGCTTGTCATCATCTAGGCGTGTCTTAACTGTCTTCCCTTGGTTCGTTTCTCTCTAGGACGCGGAGAATGAGGAACCGGAACCCACGGATTGGGAGAAATACGCCGCTGAGGAGTATGAGTTGTTAGTAGCGGAAGAAGGAGCTCAGGAAGGACAGCAGGAACCTAACAGTCCTGAAGATGTGTAAGTGGCATTGACTGCAATACCTCATGAATATTTATGATGAGATATGTACATATTCATGAGAAATTAACTGTTCTGGGCAATGACTGCAATACCTCATGCATATTTATATGAGACATACGTATTCATGAGAAATTAACTGTTCTGCATATGACTGCGATACCTCATGCAAATTTATAAATGAGATATGTACATATTCATGAGAAATTAACAGTTCTGAATATGTAAGTGGCATTGACTGCAATACCTCATGCATATTCATGATCAGAGATGTAATACGAATGAGAAACTAACAGCCCTGGAGGTGTTTGAGAAGTGCTGACTTTCAATCCGTCAAAAAATATACATAATGGTGATACATACATATTCATGACGAATAACAAGCAGCTCTGAACATAATTATTCATAAAGCCAGTGTACCAGCCCTATTTGATGGGTCAATATTTTATCATATACAAGGGAAAATTGTATAAGTAGCTAATGCCATCTGATGTGTTCTCATTGCAATACATATAATTCTGTTCCAAACCTTAATTAAATTTTGTGTAATTTTTCATCAAGTGTGTCAGTTTTCACTTTTTTGGTCATTCGTCGCAATTTTATGTAATTTGTCTTAATTATATGGAATTTGTCGCAGTTTCTGTCGTTTGTCACCATTTTTGTCAATTGTGACTATATTTGTCATTTGCCACCCTTTTTGGTCATTTGTCATCTTTCTTGTCATTGTCACAGAGACTACCCCGACGACTTTGAGCCCGAGGACGAGGAGATCTTGACCCTTGACCTCCAGCAAAAGCTAAAACTCTCGGAACCTCCACAACGTAACCAATGGGTGGGCAATAACAACGGCGACATCGAGTTCAAATCCAGTGTGCCCTTGTGATGCAGCGACACTGTACAGTGTACATAATACGCTCTCTACTTAAATAATGTAAATATTTTCACAAAAATCATCTGGAAAAAAAGAAATAAAGCAAAAGTACTAAATAGGCCGTCAATGATAATGAATCACAAATCTGAATGAACTGGTTTGGCATAATCCAAGTATTTATTGATTTTTTTAGGGGGGGGGGAAGTTTTGCATTTTCTTGAGAATCTGTTCGCAGGGTAGAAGCTGTTTACAGCAGCTTATAGCAATGCCTAACTTAAATTCGCTGGTTGTGGAAAGCAACCGACAATCATTCATTTCATGGGGGGGGGGGTCACTATTGACAGAGGGTTTGAGTGGTCACCAATCGCCAATTTCAAAGTGAATTTTTTGTTCCTCATGGTTCTCCGGCCCCCTTTGATTTGATCGCCCGAAAATGAAAAAGTAGTGTCTATTTGTCATTCTTTATTAGTCTGAACAATGAGTCAGGTGGAATTGATATTAAAGAGTCAAGTTCTTTTACGTCGGTGTTATCACAAAAACAGCTTCTCTTATTTATCCAAGGAAGTGTTATTGTTTGTGGATCCAGCCGAGGCAACTTTGTGTCCGTTTTCAAAACTATTTGGTTTAATCTATAAATAGGGAAAGGGTCCTTTAGGGAAGTTCGTAGAAAATATTCCAGCTATAAAGTTACTGCATGGATGGGCAATTTAAAAAAGGTTTTTGTGTTTTGTTTGGTTTTTCTGAATTGACGATGACTTTGAGGAATTGTAGTGTATTCTGTCCCAGACCGTGCAAATCAACTCAGCCGTAGCTTTGATTGTATAAGCTATTCAGCTGACATTTGGGGTGAAGAAATAAGGGCGTAAACCCTTTTTCGGGCTATTGTGTCTACTTCGGGCAAAAAAAATGAGGTCATGGGGTCAATATTATAAAGTGCATTTCGCTGTGAAGAAAGATTACTCGGCTATTTTGTAATATGCAATATGCGAGTTCAGTTGAATGCCAAAACCTGAAGCAGCTACGTGTGTATGCGCGTATTTATGGTGTAAATCGAGGACGTGCAACACCATCGAGCTTACTGAAATTTGTATCCTTGTGGAGACATTTCTTTGTTCTCGTGTAGTAAAGTTTTCAAGTTTGAAAGTGTAGTTTCAAAATGCTCCTATTTTAACCAGAATTAATTTCCTTGGCTGAAATTTGGACTTAATATCCCTTTTCTAAAATTCTTCCATCATTTGCGATGGATCAACCCACCTTGAAAATTCCTAGTTTTTGAGTAAAATCCATATATCTATTTCGTGAAAACCTTGTGGAGATGTATTCATCTATAGAAATTGCCCTGTGGAGATGTATACAATGTTTTATTCCCTATTGTGTGCATGTCTCCTGAGGGCACGGTGTATCCAATCGATAAATCGAGGACAGAAACTGAATCGAGGACTCCTCGGTTAGAAAACGTGTTCAAAACCAATGAGAGCTGTTGTGAAAAAGTTAGTACAAACAAAGGAAAAGGGAAGAGGAACAAAAGAAAATCCTCGATTTACACCATAAACAAACATGTCTGTGTGTGTGTGTGTGTCTTTCAGTCAGCTAGCTTGTTGGTTTGTTTGTGTGCCCTACTTCCCCCCCCCCCCCCCCCCAGCCAAGCTTGCAGACTGGGTTGCCAGAATATTTACCTTCCGAACTTTCTCGCCTTTGCAGTGTTCATTCGCTTTGTGCAATTACCAAGTATTGCTAAATTGTAAATTAACATGTAAATTTAATAACTTATAAATGAATAAATAAATTAATTAATTAATCTGCTAAGTTATTAACAATCACACGGTGCCTTCATGTGAATTATGCACCAATCGAATCTATAGGCACTGCAGACACTGTGTCTGGGCTGCACTATGCTGTATGTATATAATAGGAACATATTTGTGTCTGTTTATTGTCACTTATTCATGTGTGAAATCCCCAGACTGACTTTTGATATATTGCGAAAAAAAAACTAATCCCGATAATGGATAGGAATTTATTATTCCTCCATTTCCAGGAGAGGAAGTATTGAAAAGAATTTTTTTTTGTTGCATCGAGGGTTGGAATTTCCTTGTCCCGATTTCCTTATTTTGTTTATTCGCCCTCGTTCAAAGGATGCCCCAACGTCCGGGGATTTTAAAAGCCGATGACTCGGGAAAAACATAAGGGATAAAAAAGTGAACTATATTTACTATTTTACTTTTTGAGTAAAAAAAATTCGAAATGTGTTGTAAGAAATGTTTAGTGTCTTTGATCCAGGGGGTGTTTTCATCTTTATGTTTTTAGAAAACAGTTTTTTTCTCCTCTTTTTGTTTTTAGAAAAAATCAAGACAAAAAGTGGGGAAATGAAGGGGGGGAAAGTCTTGCAAGCAGATACCGACGTACCCACTTTTCCCGTTCATTTCTACTCCTCCTTTCTCCCCTCCCCATATACCCTGATATCCGCACGCCCACCCCGATCCCACCCGTCCAAGTATCACACTAACAACATTGCAACCCTAAATCAAAGCGGTGGAATTATTTCATTGTATTCGTTTAACCCGGAAATATGCACTAAAGTCTACAATCCTTCCCAGTAATATCTTAATATTATTGCGAGATCCACGTCAAAATTTAGAATTCCCCCAAAAGCCTAAAAAAAAATTGCATAGCGCATCATAGCCAGTCTACGCGGAACTCCAGTGTGTAAAATGATAAAAAGGATCTCCAACATTAACAAAGCGGCATTTCTAGCTCAACTTTAGCTGTTGGCTTTTTTTGTTTGGTCTACAGACCTGGAAGGAAAACAACCTTGATTTTTAATTGCATTTTATTACAGGGAATGGATGAGCGATCTCTACGCTTATATTACAGGCGTTGTCGGAAGTCTGTGTATTATTAGCATAATGGCATCCTTTATGCCATCGAATAATTATGAGTTTATTCCTGAAAATCCAGAGCTTTGTGTGGAGGATGAAATGCCATTGTGTATTTCACAGAGTTGGACAAAACAAATTGAATGCTGTTTGCGAAAATAATTTCCTTCAAACTATTCACTTCGGGGGGGGGGGGGGGGACATCCGATGAACCCTTCACTGTTGACGTGTCTGTCTTGGTGTTTTTCATTCTCCGGTCACAAATCCTAGCGCACAAGGGGTTTTGTCACTCATGAATATTGATGATAATCGCATTGACGTCATTATGACGTCATTTGGCCGTCGTTTGCATCGCCCTCTCGAAAACAACAAGCGGACGTGATTAGATTTGACCATCGGAGTTTTTTTTTATTGGGAATCAAAACCGACCTTTGCAGGGTCGCTTATTTATTGCGTCCTACATTATGAGATCGTCTGGCGTGTATTGGAAATTATGACAGGAACGAGTTGAAGGTTTTTTTCCCTTTATCTGATTTTCCATATGTACAGGGTGAGTGAGAACAAAAAAACGCATCCCAAATGGTAGGACCAATTTTTGAATAAAGTTTTGCCTGTAGCACTTTCATAATCTATGATATGAAAGCCCAGTCATTAAGCTTTCTTTTAGTCCAAGAATCATTCAGATCATCCATGTACTTTTCAAGTAACGGAATTTTGAAGACAAACACCGTTTTAAAGTTCATTCCACGGATCACACAAAAATAAGTGTTCCTTCCAGCAAAACGAAAACAATTCTCATAGGGATGCATGTGAATTTTATTCGTTTTGCTGAGTGAACTTTAAAACGGTGTTTGTGTTCAAGATTCCGTAACTTTAAAAGTACATGAGTGATCTGAATGATTCTTGTACTAAAGTAAAGCTACCCTAACAGTCCTGAATCCTCCAATTTCAATATGATTTTGCACACCCCCTAGGGAGTTAGGGTTGACTGGGCATTCATAATTTTCCTTGATTTGAAAGAGCAAAACTTCATTCAAAAATTGGTCCTGCCATTTGGGATGCGGAGGTTTTTTTACTCGCCCTGTACTGTATTAAGGTTACTGTCTTATTACATTTTACTTTCTTCGTAGAAATTTGAAGTATCACACTGCTTAAATACCTTGAAGAGTATTTAATTGCCTTCTTGATTTATATAATAGGTGTAGGTATCATGACCACCGTGAAAAAAATATGATCCCGCGGCCGCTTGTGTACAGTTTACTCGCCGGGAAAATCGGCCTCTAATCACCAGTCGCACTTCGACGTAAATTCTCACCCTTGTCACCTCGCATCGCTCCGAAGGTTCAAAACTCAAAGCCCCTAGAGTGTCAATTGAGTTGCACATTTCACATCATCGCTGCCGCATTATATTGTGCTTCATTTCACGCTGCGTTGACTGCCGGGTTGGTGTATTTTTTTCCCCCGCCTTTGCTTTCCCGCGCGCACGCTTCATAATTTATAGCGCGCGTAAATGATCTCAAAAGATAACAGCCAGACCGGATTGTTTATTTTGCTCCATAAATGTCAACTCTTGGATGGATTTTTCTGAGTGGAGTTTCGCTCATAATGTCCTTGAATGCCTGACGGGGAATTTAACCCAAAAAAATCGCCTTGCATTTTTGGGAAGCAATCATTTTGCTTTGCTCGCTACTGGTTTTGACTCGAGCACAATCGTTTTCTTTTCTTAAAAGAATAATTGAATAAAACAATTATCTTATTAACATGAAAAAATATTAACTACATCCGCGGGGGCGTTGTTCATCTGGTTTCTTTTGTGTTCAGTAGGACTATATTTAGATCAAGGGTACACTTTTTGTTTGGTTTGCAATTTTGAATTTTTGTTTAATCATTAATTTTAGAGTCTTCATTTTATGCATTTTTGTTCGCCGGTAAAATATTCAACTTACTGCGCATGCTCACTAACCAATTTTATATGCAACGGACGCCATTTTTAACGACGGTTACAATGTTATCCGTGGAGCCCTTTTCATTTTGCAATATTTTTTTATCACTTTGTGTTCCATGATTCTTGGCTTATGTTGTTTGCAAGTCAATATATACAGCTGTATATTGATTTTGTCTGAATGAATTCAATAATTTTGAATAGTGAAACGATGAGGGTTGATTGACTTTTTTATTTTTAAAAAAGCATTAGTCAGTCGAGCTTTGTTTGATTTCATTATCTAACGGCAAAATATGTCCTATGCAAATCGATATCACATTATCTCTCTTATTCACAAAGACAAGAAATTATACTCAATCATCCACTGAAGTAAGCACCAAGCGATTTAGAGTGAAACAAAACTTTGATTTTACATTGAAAGAGTCTCAAAAATAAAAATCATAACCAGATAGTGGAAACTCTAACCATTTTGAATGAAAAAAACTTCACACTAAACATTTCGTTTCATGCTCTAGTCGGATCGAGTGTATTATTTTCGCCCTCTTGAGGTATGAGAAATTATTTATATTTACTCATCAAAGACTGGAGTCAGAAATTGCAGATGATGAAATATTTATAATAAAGATGAATCAATATGTCTTTATACATTCGGATTTGATTTCAGTCTGTCTCTTTCTTTTGTTAGTCTTTTCTTCACATTTTCCTTTAAGTTTCATATTTACTCGACACGATGCAGCTAAATCTATGATGTAACTGCTTTTGCAAATTATGGACGTTATACACCTCAACTAAATTGTCTCATTCATCCCATTAAATTGATTGTATGGGCAGTTAAAAAATCTAAATATTTATAACTTTAATTTATATATCGCTGCTTTTAATAATATACTA